CTCCTTCTCCTTCTCCTCCTCCTCCTCCTCCTCCTCCTCCTCCTCCTTCTTCTTCTTCTCCTCCTTCTTCTCCTTCTCCTTCTCCTTCTCCTCCTCCTCCCCTTCCTCCTCCTCCTCCCTCCTCCTCCTCCTCCTCCTCCTCTTCTTCCTCTTCTTCTTCTTCTTCTTCTTCTTCTTCTTCTTCTTCTTCTTCTTCTTCTTCTTCTTCTTCTTCTTCTTCTTCTTCTTCTTCTTCTTCTTCTTCTTCTTCTTCTTCTTCTTCTTCTTCTTCTTCTTCTTCTTCTTCCTCCTCCCAGAATTCCTGAGCCAGCATAGCTGAACTGTAGTCCACAAGTCACAAAGGTGCCATAGTTTCACACCCCGGCCTTAAGGGGTAGGAGCAGTTCCACTATGACATTCTGAGAACCAACTACGCAAAGTGAGAATTTGAAGTTTCTCTCTTGTTTTTACCTCATGGATTCTGCCTGAGGCCTGTTGATGGTAAATGGTGGGGTTTCTCGAAAGAAAATTCTTAGGTTCTCACAGCTGCTGAAGGACAGGTCATGTGGGCGAGTGGTTCTTTCCCGTCTCCTTATTCTAGGTCTTCTTGGAGAGTTGGACAGTCCAAAGCTGGCTGGAGACTGTTTGACTATTTGACACAAGGATGACTCGCCTGAATCTCTAGCCAGGAACAAAGGGGCCTTTGGCTGGAGTTTCCCCAAAGTTGGTGGTGAGAAAGGCTGAGGGGCCACTCCAAAGGAGAACCTTGGGGATGAATGAGGAATTGGAGAAGAAGAAGACATAACTAATTTCCTTCCTGGTGTCGGCCACTTTAAATGGTCTTTCTGCTCGAATCTGGTGGTCAGACCCAAGAAATTTGGCACGGAGGAAGGGGGTGGGTGGGAAAAACCATGACATTATTGTCCTTGTATCTTCAATGGAGGACGCATCTCAGATAGATATTGGAAAATAACGCAACACGGGCCAGAACTGGGTTTCGGGAAGGATGTACCGTGAGTAAAAGTATGTTCCACCTGCTTTGAGAGTTTTCTTCTGCTTCCCGTTTGGAACTCCTGACAAATGCAGGAATTTACAAGGCTGAGGTTCATCAGGGTCATCATAGAGGAATTGGGCCTCCCCCCCCCCAATTTTGTGGGGCCACTAATACCATTGGCCTGAGTGATCTTTAATATTGAAACCATGTCGTGCTACCCCAAACCTGCCAGTCGGAAGTTTCTTCTGCTGAGATAAAATCAGCCCACCTGTTTGACTTCCTGTTCAGATCTTCTTCTTTCTTTTGACTGTTTTCAGAGCATCTTCTTCATTCATGGTGAGTTAAGATACTGTGGTCAATATTTGGAGAAGTTTTGGGTTGCGAGAAGCAATTTTAAAATGTGCTTGTAAAAGAAATGACTGTATATAGATGTTGGGGGATTAGAGGGGGATCCAGTATTGTGAGCTGTGATGGGGAAAGGGGCTTACGGATCTACAGTTGATGAAAAAAAAATCTGAATACCTTCCGTTGCAAAAAATATATAACAATTGCCTGAATATTCTAAATATTTTAAATATTCTAAAGAATTCTGTTCTGTTAAGGGAATGATAAATACTTTGCCTGAAATTATTTTCTTTTGAGCTGTTGTATCATCCGATAAAAGTAGGTGTAACTAGTTCTAAGGAAGATTAAATTTAGTTGTAATTTAAACAAACTATAATCTGTTCATTTATAACCAACTATACATTTAGTTTTACTTTATGAGTGTATAAATTTGCTTAATCAACCAATGAAAGCATATTGAGAAAAGTAGTCACAGATTTGTGTGAAATATTTCCTGTATCTTTAGAGATAAATCCAGTGTAGATTAGTCTTAGATTTTTAAGACTCATTATCTCCAAATTGTAGTGGCAGGTCACACTTGGACTATTATTGTTATGTATTTATGAAAGGAGCAACGGATGGAAACTGATCAAGGAGAGAAGCAACTTAAAACTAAGGAAACATTTCCTGACAGTGAGAACAATTAATTATTGGAACGACTTGCCACCAGATATTGTGGCTGCTCCATCACTGGAGGTCTTCAAGAAAAGATTGGACAGTCGCTTGTCTGAAATGGTATGTGCCTATAGGTTATCCTGCCTGAGCAGGGGGTTAGACTAGAAGACCTCCAAAGGCACCTTCCGACTCTGTTATTCGGGAGCGTCCTAAGCACAGAATACAATACTAATGGAAGGGATAATGCAGAAGAAAATATTCGAGTAATGAAATATGTATAATAAGAATTCTGCAGCGTAGGAATTATGTTGGAGACTGATACTATATATTTTTTCCTTTTCTTTGAAGATCTCTGGGGTAAAGCTTTTAGCCTGTTCAATAAGCTTACTTAGCATTTTCTTCCTTTTTTCATTTAACTTTCCCACCCTTTGAAGCACAGCAAACCAGAAACTCTATTGTCATCGCTCCCAGTAATAAGATAAGATGAGGTAAACTTTATTGTCATTTTTCTGTACACACAACGGTGAAGGCACTTGCCTGTCGCTCGGAAGGCCGAGACTTCTATCCTAGGTAGCAGCACACGTTTTTCTCTCTCCTAGGGCGCAAAGGGAAAATATCTGCTGCAAACTCCACATAGGTGTCAGGAAGGACATCTGGCCAGTAAACGCTCAGCTCCATAATCCAGTCACCCCAACTCTAGCCTGAATTAAGGAATTACAGGGCCCTAAAAAAGGGGAGTGCTGCATACACAATGGGGACATTAAAATGAAATTCCAATGCCCGCTCCCGGGTGGGAGGGAGGGGGGATAAAAACCAGAAGAACTCAGGATATACATTTTGACAAAATCAGAGACTTCCTGCGAGAAAATGCAGAAGGGAATGCTGTATTTATTTATTTGTCCAATGTATATACTACAGGCACCCATTTCACAAAACCAGTGACTCTGGGCAACATACAACCAAAGCTAAAAGAACTAAATAGCTAAAACTGTATTAATGATTGGGGGAAAAAAACCAACAGCTATAGCATTTACGATCATAGAGAATTTTAGATTGAGAAGAGCAATCTTGATCAGGATTGTATTCTCCAAATGATCATCAAGGCTCACTTCGAACACTCTAAGCAAAATGGAGCTCAGCCCCAGATATTTGTACTTTATTTATTAAATCTGTAGGCTGCCCATTCTTTTTTTTTTCTTTTTTCTTTTGAGTGACTCTGGGGTGGGGTGAGGGATAAAATGGCAGGCTGGCTGGGGAATTCTGGGCGTTGAAGTCCACATATTTTAAAAGCAGCCAAAGTTGGGGAAAAAACAAGCAATGTGAATACTTGCAAGATTTATGGGGCAGAGAGAGTGCAAAATTGCATCATCCCAACGCACCCATAGATAAAGAAAGAGGATAGTAGAAAAAAATATTATCAGACTGCTGGCTAATCTCATGTTTTAGATTGCATCAGGGTTGCCCAAACAAGCCGGCTGGGGAATTCTGGGAGTTGAAGTCATTTACACATCTTAAAACTGCTGAGATTGAGAAATCCCGTACAAAGAGATTAAATCTAATCTTCTTCAATTGCTCCTCTGGAATTTTTATCTTTGTCTCCCTTTTTCTTTTTTTCAAAAGAGAATCAAAATCGGATCCATCAAAAGCTGCCAAGATAATAATTTGCAGGCATAAAAATTCTTTCTTTTTTTTAAAAAAAATCTGAGTATATATAAGCAGGCAGATTTGGGTTTTTTGTTTTTTTTTTTGAAGCCATAATTATCTATGATTGGGTTTCAGGGAGAAATGGCAGAGTTTATCTTTATATCCATAAAGCCTTCTTCCCGTAGAAAAGTCCAGATAACAAGATCCCTCTCTCTGACCTATCTTCTTTCTTGAAATGTTAAGGTGACTTGGTTTTGCTTAAAGATTAGAGCTGCTTTGAAAATGATGGGCCATCTGCAATTCCTCAGGAAGGTTGCGACACGGCAGACTTTTTCTGTTGACAAATACATTTTACTAAAACACAAACAACTTTGAGGAGTTGCTTGTTATCACTAATAAAACCAGCTCCTCTCACAGAAGTTGATGTAAATGTGTTAGTCTTTGAGAGCTGTGTGCAATGAAATTTCATTTTAATGTATGCCGATTAGGGTACATTAAAGTGACAATAAAGTTACTCTATTGTATTCTTGCTTTATTTCTATTCTATTCTATTCTATTCTATTCTATTCTATTCTATTCTATTCTATTCT